AGATCATATACTATATATATATATTCAGATATTAGATCCTCTTAGATCCTGTTATTATAGATCATGTTTGATCCTCTTTCGTCCTCCCAGTCTGGGAGTTGTTGGATGGTAAACTTAGGAGTCCAGGGGTAATAAAGCCACCCTTGAAAGGGCGGGTGGATGATGGATGAATTGACATTCATTGCCAGTAAGTGTAGCTATACTAAGGTGCCTGCAAAAAGGTTAGGATACACATAGATTCGATACCCTCCCACAACCAACCATAACGGACTCCGTTCCCCTCCGTCTGAAATCAAAGTAATTGTCTCGCAGGATCACACCTGGAAAGCCCAAGCTGCGATTGAGCCAGGAGAAGTGGGGAGCAGCTGAGGGGAAGCCCCCAGCTGCCACCAGCTTCTTTTTGCAATGGTGGGACATAGTGCAACCCAAAATGAGAACAACGTAGGAGAATTACAACAAGTGAACCAAGAGCCCCAGAACAAGTGATGATGGTCATCTTCATGTACTTTGTCTACATCCAGAATCCCAATCATGGGGGCCATCTTGAAGAATGGAGATGTGAGGTTATAAGTCTTGATGGGGATCACCTACGAACGGCCATGTTCCGATGGATTATTGTGGGGTATTCCCAGATTGACCCAACAAAACTATCGTTGCGATCGACTCAGGGCTGTTTGTGGCGTGAACCCTGGTGGCACCAGCTGGCTCGGAAATACGAATCATCGTGAATCCAACAAAAACCATCCCATCGCAGTGTGCAGCTCGGGCTGGGAATCGCAGCCTGTGCAGACCAAAAGGTATGACGTCGTCTGAAAACCGGCCTCCGGGTTGCCGGATGGCCGGGCTGAAGCCCGGGATGCGACCCACGACCTTTAAACGACCTCAGATGGTGGGTGATCACGACTCAAATGTTTTGGCAAGTGCACGCTTGATGTGTGCTTCATCTTGTGGCTGGAGTTGCTTGAACAGGCACCAATGTGGACCTTCACACTCAGCCACAAAAAAATGCAAACGTTGAAGCAGCAGTAATAATAACCATCATGTTGAACAACTAATTTGTTTGCAAGATCCGCAGGTTTCTAAGCCGTCGCCACAGACGCTGCAGGATGCAGATGTGCAACTTTCCATGCCTTGGGCCTGGCTTCTACGACTGGTCGCTAAGCACGCATTTGGCAAACAACTTGTTGGACGAACCCAAGGCGCAAAAAGAAGGGGGAGCGCCCAGGTATAGACCGCAAAGATGGTCTTGTCAGACGGAGTCCGTTTTTGCCCAGAGACGCTATAGGGGGCTTCAAGACTCGGGATGCGAAACGCCGGCCGCGTAACACGATGAACAACTAAGACTCGATGAACAACTAAGACCTTTCATCCAGTTTCAAGACCGCGAAAGGCCTTAGACTGAGCATCGCAGCAGTTTCTCCTTGCGAGGCCTTTTGCCTGTTGGGCTTGGCTTTAGTCTACATGGCCACCGTACAGCAGGAGGCAGAGCAAGGCACTTTTCCGGGAACCAAGGCGTGTGCGTGTGGACAGAACTTAGGGCCATTCGTGTTAGTAGCAGCTACATGTTACTGAGGTGCCCCTTATTGGTCAATAGTTCTTGACAGTTGTGGCTGTTGCAACCCTGTTGTCACCAGAATGCACTTCATCGCGAGACAGACAGTTGAGATCTCAAAGGCCAAAGGAGGAAATGATCCTGCCGATGTTCTGCATGGTTTTCACAGGTGTTTTACCCTGGTTTGGAAACTTGGCTTATTCTTCTTGACAAGGTCCACCTGTGACGATCACCCAGTGAGGCCAATCGCCATCCCTTTCCCTTGTCGGACGATCTGCTGGGAGAGGGATTTCTGCGTGCTCGGATCAGGTCGGATGTCGCGCTTCAAGAAGATGTGGGCCATCTTGCTGAATCGCCGGGCCACCAGAACTTGAACCAATATCCTCAGGTCGGATGGGCTCAGACATGGACCCCCAGGTAGGCCTGCTGGTAGAATTGTACTGCAGTTTGGAGTTTAAGTAGAAATGAGATGATCCTCAAATAGTTGTTGATATGTGATACCGCATATGATCATATTTGGGCGGATCCAGGTGGTTGCTTGCATCGATCCACCAAAAACAACCCTTCGTTTGAAGCCTCCTTCGTCCCACATCCACCCGGTGCCACGGCCGACTCCGAGGCGCCTCGAAGTGAGAGCCGGAAGCGCTATCCGTGCGCTCTGGGTGCTGGCCCGTAGCAAACACAAGTGATATCAAGTGATCATCTATTGTGGAACCATGTGGAACCCACATGGTTGCCGTTTGTTGTCCTCAAATCGTCACACGTTGGCTTTCATGTTCAAGATACTGTACATCAACATACTGCAGCCTTTGGAAGCTGCCTCAAGCAGATGCCTCAGATGTGCAGGTTCTGTTGCAAGAGGAAAGATGTGACAAAACGCTGAAAAGCAGCCAGGGAAGCCGATGACGAGTTTGGTTTTCCATGTTTCGGGGCTTGTTTGGGTTGCCGGCTGTCCATTTCCGACTGATGCGGGATGCAGACCCAGAGGACCCAGAAACTCCAATGAATGAATCGCAAACTTCAGTCCATGATCTGCACAGAAAATCTTACAATGTGGCTAGCGGCTAGCAGTTCCAGTCCAACCAGGTCAAAATCCGAGTTCCAGCGGCCTTTGTAGATTTTTGTCACTTACTGCACGTCAGCGCCAAGCGCCGTCACCGTGAGCGCCAGCGGCGCTTAGCTTTCAGGGCCGCAGTCCATTCGATTCCGCGACGGATCGACCAACGGATGACGCGACATGTCGAACCGTTCGAAACAGAGTTGAAAACGGTCGAAACAGAGTCAGGTGCCCAGCAACCGATCTTGAAGCGCAATGAGCAGAATGAGCATGGGTAACATACTTTGTGATGTTTTGTGGAAATGTCGGAGATGTCGGACTGGGCACGCAGTCTCCGACTATCCAGTGGCGTTTCAAAACCATGCGGTGGCACTATGTGGCACTCATGTTCGAAGAGCTGAAAATAAGGGTTGCTTGGTCGATCTTGGTCGCTTAGGAAACCGTGCGCCAGTTCTTTGGGAACCCAGGAGGAACAACTCTGATGTTCAGCAACATCTTTGGTTTTACAGGAGGATGTTCCTCAATATTCCAGGTCTTTGGGATCCAGGACAATCCATAATCCATGAGTCATTTGTTTCGTTGTTCTCAACGGTTTCCTGTGCTTGCATGAACGACTTCGGCGGATGGCCAGGCCTTGACGCAGACGACCAAGATGTGGCTGCTTGGTTTCTGGCCAGGGATCTGCAAGCCTGCAAGGCCTGCAAGGCCTGCAAGGAGCAAGTAGAACCAGCCCAAGGAAGACATGGTTCCCCAAGAAGACATGTGGTTTTCGGGCAGGTGGCGACCATGAATGTTCAGAGGGAAAAGGGAATCCGAAGGTCATCGTCGGAAGTCTCGGGAGGTAAATGTTCCCTCATCTTCATCATCTCAGGATTTGCTTTCCCTGAGGCAATTGAAGAACCTGTATCATTTCATTTCAGTTCTACATCCGACTTAATTATGCGAGGTATTGCGAGGTAACTACACACTATGTCTTATAAGATGTCTTAAGTACATTCGTTGCGACCTTCTCAGGGGCTGAGGGGCATGGAGGCTGAATCCTTCACAGTGTTGCAATGATGTTTGGCTTCATGGAGGATGTTGTGCATTTACTCCATTCTAGCAGCACAATTTGCCGTGTGTGAGTCCCACAAGAAGGGTTTCGCCCGCCCAATATCGCTGACAGAACAGCTTAAAAACCGGGGGTACGATATGCTGAAAGTTGCAGCAGACCCATGATGACCCATGTGTTTCCGCGCAGTGCTGTTCGATTTGTCGGGTCAAGTACATATCTCCCAAGTATGCCCCCGAAATTGGTGGGTGCCTTATTAACAATGTAAAATCGGTGGAGCGACCATTCACTTGTGACTCCTCAGTTCACACAAGTGAGGCAAAATGCGGATTCCATGAGCAAGGACTTGGAACAATCTCTGGAGGACTGTCTGTTGGTGGTCGATCCTCTCGTTCCGAGCCCGAGCTCGGCATGCGATCCGACATAGCAGGACAGCCTTCAGGACTAAACAGCCCAGATGTTGATTGGAGACTTAAACGAAGGCACCCAAAAAGCAGCTTGGCTTTGATTCCGACTACCCATATGCTACCCATATGCTCCCGAGATGTGATACTCGACTTCCTCGTGAATCGGGTCGACCTCACAGGCCCCACCCTGATCGAGCCAAACACGTCACGCGGACCCCACGCGAACGTTCGCCCAGCGAAAGCTCAGAGAACCTGGCAGAAAAGCCTGGCTGCGAACGTCCGTGTGTTGTGCAGGATGCCAACAACGAGTTGGCAGATGTCAAGGAGCAGGTCGTCGGAGCACCCAGACTCCATGGTCGGCTGGAAGAGTGGTGAAATAACCTCCGGAATTCCTGGAGAAAATCTCCCTGGCAGTTACTGTAACACTGTAGTTGAAAACTCGGATTGCTTTAGCATCCCATAAGGTGGAAATTCCTTTGTGGAAACGGGTGGGGTGGGGGGTCAACCCCTCAGATCGGAATCCTAATGTGGATGTTTTAGCTGTTGATAGCTGTTGAACCGATCCATTCCGACAGAAGCTGAGGTGAAGTAGCCACTCATCATTAGCTACCGGATGTTTTCCCAATATTTTCCCTACAGGTGGTTCAGGATTTCTTCTCAGCAGCTAGCAGCTAGCAGCTAGCCTGGCTAGCCTCTTTTCCTTGAACTTCCAGTGTTCATGAACTCGTATCTCCTGTGGATGTCATACAATTCATAATGAGTTCACGCTGGCGGCCGCGGAGATCATTCCGTTTGATTTTCCTGGAGTCGTGACATGAACACATTATGTAGAGATATCTTGTGTGCCGCCTATCAACCCAGACAACATCCTTGTCATTTTATTTGTATGCATATCCTGATGATTGCCCCGAGATCAGCATGCAAATGTCTGCGAAGATCTTTGGCACAAAATGCAATGTATAGTGAAGGTGTTCTTCCCTTTGTGACAATGGTTTCTGCAGGAGCAGGTCATTCACTGCTTCTGCGAAATGATGGGAGTGCTGTGGCTTGCGGAAGGAACCAATATGCACAATGCAACATTCCACCTTTGGAGGAGGGTATGTGCTACACCCAAGTTTCTGCAGGAGGTGGTCATTCAGTGCTTTTACGAAGTGATGGGAGTGCTGTTGCTTGCGGGTGGAACCAATATGGGCAATGCGACATTCCGCCTTTGGAGGAGGGAGTGTGCTACACCCAAGTTTCTTCAGGAGGAGCACACTCAGTGCTTTTGCGAAGTGATGGGAGCGCTGTTGCTTGTGGAGCCAACGATGATGGACAATGTGACATTCCACCTTTGGAGGAGGGAGTGTGCTACACCCAAGTTTCTGCAGGAGGAGGTCATTCAGTGCTTCTGCGAAGTGATGGGAGTGCTGTTGCTTGCGGATCCAACCTTATGGGACAACGCAACATTCCACCTTTGGAGGAGGGAATGTGCTACACCCAAGTTTCTGCAGGAAGAAGACATTCAGTGCTTTTGCGAAGCGATGGGAGTGCTGTTGCTTGCGGAGGGAACGATCTTAGACAATGCAACATTCCACCTTTGGAGAAGGAAGTGTGCTACACGCAAATTTCTGCAGGAAATGATTTTTCAGTGCTTCTTCGAAGTGATGGGAGCGCCGTTGCTCGCGGAGCGAACGATGAGCGACAATGCAGCATTCCCATGTTTGCAACCGGTAGCTATGTTTCTGACTTTGGTAAAGACTGCGTCTTGCAAGCAGGCGTTGCCTTGGAAGATGATGGAGCTGTGCTGACATGCTGTGATTTGGCCGGGCATGAGGTATTGCGACTGAGGGTAAATGCATCTGACAAAGCCTGGGATACGCATAAGCGCATTGTGAGTGACCTTCAGGTTAACCTTCAAAATCTTCGTTTAGTCTTGCCTGATGGACAGTTGTTGGCCTCAATCTGCAGGGTAAGTCCACTGGCCACGATTGCAGATTTGAGTGAACGGCAGTGAACTGCAGTGAAGCGTGTTCCATTGTGTTCTAGCTCCGTCATGAGCAAAGGGGATCACTAATATCCAAATCAAGCCAATACAGTGCAAGTTAATGCAGTGCCCACTCAGTCATTGCTGTGCAGTTGCCAACTGCCCACAAGTGGAGTTTCTAGGACGTCATGTCTTACACCCAGATGTTTGCATCCAGAGTGAAGGCATCGCTGTTGCTTGCGGACGTTGAGTTTCGGAAACATGGGACATCCCTGGCTGTTTTTCTTTGCAGCCATACGCAACTTGCGCAATAAAAACGATCAAACAAGTTAAAGACGATTCAGACCATGCAAAATCCGTGGACTATTATATAGACATGATCTTGTAAAGACATCTAAAGACATCTAAAATTGGTAAGACATCTTTTATCTGACATAAGATGGTATATAGACATATACCATAGAAACATATAGAAACTATTTTGTAACCATCTGGTCTAAAGACATCTAAAATCATCTAAAGACCATGCTTTCGAAGAAAGCCGTGCTGGCGTGACGGACGTCCAGTCCGTGAGCCGCTCGTCGTAACTTGGTCCGGGCGGATGGTCAGTCAAAACGAGCGTGTCGTCGGTGGCTTTGGACGGACAGGGGGAACGTTGAATCTACTGAACTCATATCCTTTTCCAAGTGATTTGATGCTTTAGGGGCTTGGAGATTTGGTTTATACTTCCAGTCCATCCTAATCCCGGTTCGCAACGTGTTTCAGAGTTCATTTTATGACATGGAACATATTATTGCAATTTATATAATTGCCTCATGATATTGCAATTTATTGAAATATATGTTAATATCGAGCCCAAAAAAAACACCAGACATGTGCGAATCATGTGGCCCTCCAAATTCCTCGGCCACCGCAAGGGTTGACCCTTCGGTGCTCGTCCTTCCGCGCCCGCACGGCCGGCACGCGTGCGACCGTTCCCCGGTGGTTGGAGTCGGGACGCCATCAGGATGCCTTGCGCAAGGCGCGGGCGAGTTGTGGGGGATGGTGGGGGCGAAAGAGATGGTTGTGGTGTCTGAAAGTTTGGGACGGTGCTTCTGATGATGCGCTTACTGAATCTGCAGAGTTTGGAGGGTCCCGTGTATTTGGGATGAATACCCAGACATTGGAGTCATCCTTTGTGGACTTTTGCGTCCGGTGTGTGCATCCAAATGTGCGGTCGAAAGGGGAACATGATGGAACTTGTATGTTCTCGTAAATCCTCGGGAGATTCGCAGACTATGAATGTGAGGCACATTGATGGCCCCTGCATTGATGTCTTTCGGGTTTCCGAGCTGCTGGCCACACGTCCTCGGGGTCCTCGACAGGGTTCTGTGGCATAATGGAGTTCCTAATGACACTTCCGTATATAGTTCCGGCCTTTTGTAACCCTTTTGATGCTCGATTGAATCTTTTGAGCGTCCCTGGGGCAAAAGGGTGGGTGATCCCTGGGCATACAGGATTTCCAGAACAAAACAGAAGAAACAATGTGTTGCTCCTCACCACCCAGCACTTTGGCACTGAATGACACCCAGCACGAGCGACCATCTTGCCTATGGTTTTGGGGACTTCCACTCCAGGTGTTTTGCTTCGAAACAAACGATTGAATTGTGCACATGCATGCGCACGAAACAGCGTCAATCTATCGCAGGAGCCAGGCTTCCTGCGTGAGAAGATGACACAGATGAAGGAGGAGCACGAGAAGGCCAGAACATTTCAGGGCCTACGCGATGGTGGATTGACAGGGTGATAGCCATTCTTAAGACATTCTTTTCCCGTCGGTGCCATTCATACGTGTCGTCGAAGCACTCCGTCGGGATCCCGTCCGTGCCGTCGAGCGTTCGGACCGAGGAGTTGGAGTCTCTGCAGCAGCAGTTGGAACAGGCTCAGAAGGACGGTCCTTGGGGAACAGTGCGAGGGACCTTGGGTTTACTATGTTTTCCTTGGGTTTGATCGGGGGTGCCGCAGGGAAAGAAGACACAACGGCGGCTGGAGAAACCAAGGCTGGGTTGGGGTCAATGCCCAGACGTGTGGCAGATCACGGCTGTATTTACCACCATATATACGTATAGTCTCTATAACATGATGTGTATATACGTATAGTAAACAAGGTCTTGGGAGCAGCCTTGTATAGTTCTCAGGCACTTGCTTCCAGGGATGCTCTTGTACTTGCTTTTCTGGGCGATAGCAGGTGGGGTTTCGCGTCGTGGACATGGCAAAACGTAAGTAAAGCTCTCTTGTGGCTTTAGGACTCCCTTGGAAAAGTGGGTGTCCCTTTGCTGCATGCATCAAGATCCAGCATGCATCAAGATCCAGTCCTCACTCTCTTTGGGCTAGACCAGAAGCTCGTCAGATTTTACAAAGGAGTCCCATTGCCCAGGTCGGGGTTGGTTGGGGATGTGTATATATTATATATATATATTTACATTATTATATCATATATGATCATATTATATTTGTTATATCTGATCACATGTTCATGCTTGTTCCCTTGAAGTGGTTCATCAGAGTTGGGGACCTCAGCATTGGGGAAGAATCGGTCCGGTCCAATAGTCCCCAACTCGTGGCTTCAATCATCCACTAAGAGGTGTCAAATGTGGACCCGATCTTCGAATCCTTGATACTTACAACCACCGCACTCCCCCTGCGAGGAACTCCAAGAAGAGAAAGAGAAAGAGTCGCCTGAGCCCCAAGCGATCCGAAGGGTCCCCGGTCCGGCGGCAAGCGGAGGCGAAGCAGCGTGCGAAAATCGTTGGGTCCGCATGAAGCCAATCAGAGAGACTCACAGACTCATTGATACACAGTGGTCCTATATTCGATGTTTCACCCCCGTGCTCCGTGGGAGATGCGAAGATGCCAAAGTCGGCCAGGTGTTCCAAGCGCTTTGATAGGTGTTCAGAACTGAGATAGGTGAACATGGGGCTGCACAAGAGTTCGGATCAAGTCCCAAACAGGCAGCTATCAAGGGGTGGTAGGGAGTCTTCTGGACAACAAAGGTACTTTCCTCCTCTACAAAACGGTGGTTATCCACAACAATGATTATTTCAGCGAGTGCATACGGTATAAACATACAACATATTTGGATTGGGTTTGGAGGACTCTTAGAAGAACCTAGGAGAAAGCTTGCCCTCACAACATCTAGCATAGAAGCTAACAAAAGACCGATGGGAGCAAAGTCATGTTGCAAACTGGCGGTTTCCATGGTACTTCAGGAAAGGGTATCTATGGAATTCTATGGATAACATCACGGTTTTGTGTGCTAGGAGATTGGGTATCGCTATTGAGAAAGCAAAGAAAGGCAAAGCCAGAGAGTGTGTGTTTTGTTCTGGATTTGATCCAAGATAGCCAGCATCTTTTTGCAATGATGCCAGCTGCTCAGGGACAACCCTATGGTTGCCGCCTTGGGGAAGAAAGGAAGCCAGAAGCCACTTGTCAAAATCGGTTGTGGCATGACCGCACAGGGTATTCGGGTAGTTATTCGGGTGTATTTTAGTCATGGCTAGCTCACCATGCTCAGGTTTTGATCCAGAGGGAGCTGTTCTGCCAAATGTTCGGTCAAAAGAGCAAATCTCAGCTGGAATTAACAGATGGTCAAGCGAAGAAGCCACTGAGTCAGAAGACGCCTTGTTGGGTTTTCGATGGCTTTCGAAAAAGTTAGAGAGACCCAAAAGCCATGAGTCCCACATGTTCGGCTTCCAGTCCTCAATGTGCCCAAATGTTCTTTTGCACCTTGAGAGACCCAAAGGTGCCAAAGGACTCAATTGGTGAAGTTTCGACTTGCGCCATTGGTCCCAACTTCTTTCACATGTCGCATCGTTTCGCATTGGTGCTTTTCTTGGGACCTGAAGGGCAAGGTGAAGCTTCGAAGATCTTCCTTTTTGCTTTGGCTTCTCACCCCCCCGCAGAGCCTTCGACATGATATTTGACCTGTGAATGAGTGCATAAACAAAGGCAAGTCTTCCAGAGGAGTGCGCTGACAGCGACTGTGTTCATATCTTTTTTGGGGTCCTCGACCAGATGTGAGGATCGACCGGGACTGTGGGACAACGGCGCAGACCGGTCATCGAGGCGTCGGTCGACCGCGTCATCGGTCGACCGTGCAGCTGATCGGTCCCAAAAAAGGGCCTAAGATGAAACGACACAACGTGGCTCAGAAGACATTCTTCTCGACTCTTTGTCCAACAACAGCATCTAGAATCCAATTGAGTCCACGATCCCGCACCCCAAGCCTGACCGCGAGTGTGTTGCAGACCAAATCAAGTGGATCTTTGTGCACGCACGTCCTGGTGCTCATTCCATGTTGTTCCCCATGTGTCAGTTTTATCGTCCACGGCACGTATACACCTTGCCAGCTGACTAATCTTGCTCATGCTCTTGACAGTCAAGAGGAACATCAATGCTTTCCAACCTTTCCATGTCTTCCCCGAGGATTTTGCTGAGTTTGGGGAATGAGCTTGGTCCTGACTGAGCTGTGCCTCACACCAAAACCCAGTTCAGATCAGTAGGATCGCTAAAAGCTTCGATTCACTCCAGCCTCACACCGAAACATGCCGCCTCCCTTCTTCCTCGACTCCCGTCTTCTGTGCTTCCCTTTCACAACCCCACGCAGCAGCGCGCGCCTCCCCACCCGAACACCACGCAATGGTGATGGCGGCGGCGCTGCGCGTCGGCGAAGCGTCCGAGGTTCGAAAACCTGGCCGACGCCATCGCCTCCACGCAGCAGAGCTTCGGGCCACAGGCGAGCTTCAGAAGAGACCTTCGGGGTGGCTGGCAGGGGGAGTATGAGTTTTGGGGGCTGCGCATCGGCTGCGCAGCGGGAGTTTGGTGGATCCAAGGCAATCCAAGGCAGACTGGTGTGGAGTTTTCATCCGGAAGTTTGTCGATCGAGGCGTGTGCCAAGGACACCTGCTAATCCTGCTCCAGAGTTTAAGGCATATTAAAAACCACAAAACAGGCACGCAATAGATGGTGGCGCATGTACAGTTGGAAGAGCAGAGATACAGGATGATACAGATGTTCATGGCACACCATTGGGAATTCTGCCAGCTGATTCTTGAAGCGTGCCCATATGGGCTCAACGTTTTGTTGATTTTTCGTGAGCATCAAAAGCAGCAGTCAATGCTTCACCGGTTCTGCGCAGGAGCAGTTCCTGATTGCTTTGAACCTTTTGAAGTCCGTGCCCAATTCCCAGGCTGGCTTAACAGTTTATTTTTGTCGAGTGTAGCTCGTTTGGAATTGCTGGGACCGTAGTGCTGTTGCTACAAAAACGTCGACTAAAAAATGGTTCTCTCTTTGTAGTCTCCATCGCATCGGCAGGAACCAGAAGCCATACGAGGGCTTTCACCAAACTTAGTTCAGTGGT